CACACAATGGGTGGAATGTGGGGAGGAGAGAATTTAGTATCATCCATTAAAAAAAAAAAGGAATTTATTTTTAAACATGATTCCTTGTATAATTTCATGTTTGGCAGCATGGACTAGTAAAATACATAACATTATAAATAATGGACTCTTAGGCCTTTTCTTAACAACCCTCGTTAGATACACATTTATACATCATCATGGTTTCAGGGCACACAATTAAAGTGGTAGCCAGCCCTGAAATCACTCTAGAAACCTTGCTCGAGCCATCTATTCATTATACAGTCTCGGTATGTGCCCTAGTCACTCCTAGTAATATTCAATGATCTCAGTACTTATCTCTCTGGAGTTCTTAACCTCCGCGTATATTCCTGTCTCTTCCACCTTTAACCCTGTTTTTATGCTCTTCCTTGTTCCTAGAATTTAGTAGCCACCATCCTCAGTATCAAATATTAAGGCTGTCCCTTTAAATTTTCTCCCCATCTGTCCCTTCTCAGTAACTTCTCAGTAACTTCTCATAAATTTACCCTTCTCAAACGACAACCAAAAAATGTTTTTATATCTTCTTTTCTCTCTCTCTCTCTCTCTCTTTTTTTTTTTTTTTTGACATATTAATCTCCTAGCCCCTTATCTAAGTGCCCAACTCTCTAACCAAAGGCATGATCTAGTTAGTGGCAACCAACCTAACTGGGTTCTAATCCTGGTTTTGCACAAGGCACTTCTCTAAGCTGGTTTTTGTGGGAGTTTGGGAATCGCTTTGTCTGTAATTGGAGGAAAGATCAATCTTACCCTATGCAGGTTATTCTAATAACTAAGCAAGATAGCAGGCAGGGTACCTTTTAGGGAATCCCATAGAGATAGATGGCTTCAGAAATCTTCGTCTACCATCATCATCATCACCAAATGTTTACTTTCATTTCAAGTGATAGATACCACTTGAGTTCTCATCCTCATTTTCTCAGAATTCAGGATAAAATTCATTGACTAAAGTGTAACACTTAGAAGTTCATTCTGGGACCCTCCCTGGTGGTGCAGCAGGTTAAAGCACAGCACTAAGAAGCTAAAGCCTTTTCACCATGAGTTAGATCCCCACCCCGGAGATGACCTCATGGCATGGCTGAGAGCTCTGACCTGAGGCTGCTCAGCAGTTTACTTCATCGATCTGCTTGTTCTGCTCCCACTCTGTCTCTGGTGAATCCTCTCATCGCCCCTGCACATCTGGCTTGTACCCTAGTTTTGTATGCATAAATAATAACTCATTTAAAAAAAAGTTCATTCTGTATTGTGGCATCCACTCCCAGTAGACAGACTCACACACATTCACTAAACCTGTTTCAGTCTCAAGCCCAGATGGAGGTATAAACTATAAATTGTCTCTATCCCGAATGCTGATCTGGGACACCAAATTGCCCTCTAATTTGTTGTCCTTGTAGAAAACTAAGACTGACCAAAGCTTCCTGGCATTTCTGTGGAGTCCTGGGGTTGGAGAAACTGTAGCTGCCTACCATCCCCTTAGGGATATAGTCACTTATTCTGTCCAACTAGAGAGAGATGGGGAAAGCTCACATTCCAGGACATTTGGGGGGTATCCACAATAGACTTTTGAGCAGAAGGGTACCCACAGCCTACCCGCTGAGTTGATTCCCAGCTAGTCAGCGCTGCCTGAGGTAGTTTCTTAGACCTCTACCCAGCAGGAGCCTAGAGCTGGCCTCGCTGCAAGCTGACCCGGCAGCCAGGGGCGCCAGGGCGTTCCTCAGGTTGAAGGCGGGCGCAGGGGGCGGAGCCCGGGACGGACGGGGCGGAGCCGAGGCCGCTACGAGGCGTCCCACCGCCGAACGTGAGGCGGGCATGGGGGCGGCGGAGTGGTCAGCGGCTGTGGGCGGGCCCGACGGCGCCTGGTGGGCGTGGTCTAGCACTGCAAGGCGCGGGGCCACCAAGTCAGGCAACGGATCGGAGTTGGGCGTGGCTGGGGCGCATGCGAGGCTCGCCTTGGAGAGTCCGGGGGCGTGGAGGTGGGACCCGGACGGTGGGAGGGCGGTGCAAGGGCCTTAAAAGGCCGGGACCTTTACCCGAAGGTCAGGGGAGAGGCGGAACCCAGCGGACGCGGGAACGGCGCCGCGGAGACCGACGGCGCGCGAGTCTGGTAGGGAAGGTGGGACCCCACGCTGGGAGCCGCGCTGCGAGGTCACGATCAAGCACACAGTGCTTGATGCCAGGGAAGAGGCTTCAAACAGCCATTTTGTGGCTTGCTGCTGTCTTTCCCCAAATGCTCCAGGGAAGCTGCAAAGATTGAGATCGTCAGACTGCGTGAGGCCTAGAGGTGGCTGCCTGACCCCAGATTTTAAGGCCCCCAAAGCCTGCCTTGAACCCCGAGGCCTAGAGACCAGGGCCCCTCCGCACTGCGAGCTCAGGGGTGCTACACAGAAATGGCCCTGATGTGGCCTGGCGGATGGGCGCGTCTTTTCCTGTGCTTATTCTCTGATAAGCATTGAAATCCTACCTCTAAGCATTGGGCCTTCCCTTTTTTACTGTCTCTTGATTCTTTTCAACAAACTTTCGTGCGTGGTATTTACATCCACTGTGTTGTGCAATTTGTGAACAGTCTACAGGTGTAGTGACACCTTTAGTTGGGGGCAGGTTTACAATGAGAACTTGCATCCACCCTCTGTGGAAACAGGAGTCCATTTGTCCTAAATCACCTCTACAGTGAAGGAAACAGACAAGCATTTACTTCTCAAGGACCATCACCACTGTAGCCAAATAGTATAGCATGAACACCATTGACAGTCCTGAGACTCAGGATACCAGTTCTGCGAGTCACATTTTATTTTACATAGGCCATGGGGTATGCTGCACTCATCCTAAAGGCCTGATGTAATTCCAGATTAAACCAACACCTTCAAAAATAAATCTGATTACATTGCCAGGAAAAAAGAGATCAAATGATTTACTATTGATAGCAAAATATCAATTTGATTTTAGCTGTTTATCAAAGTATGTGTTCATTTGTTCAGGCTGGATGTTGCTTTATTGTTATAAAAGTTACTAAAATGTGAGATAAGGCGTTCTGGAGTAAAATAACAAGATACATTTGATTTCCAGTCCTTGGTCTTAGACTCATAAGCCCAAGTATACATATTTTAAGAATTAGTAAAAGTTAATCACCAGGAATCTTTTCTGAACTCTGCCTCTAATTTAATCTCTCCATAACCCTATCAAGTGTTCTCATGTTACAAAGCAGGAAGTTAGGAAAGGCACAGAAGGGTGAGCCACACTCCTGGAAAGTTTAAGAAAAAAAAAATCTTTCTTACTCCAAAACATGCTCTTAACATATTTAACCTGACCTATACTCTTTCACAAGTATCCAACAGGGACTGAGCATACATAGTAGTAAGCAAGACAGGCTGGTTGTTTAAAGAACTCTGGGCCTATAAGTAGAGCCTAATTCGGTTCTGGTCCCAGTTCTACCAAAGAACAAGTTGCCTTTTTGTTGTTGTTGTTGTTAAAGATTCATTTATGCATACAGAACTGGGGTACAGGCCAGAGGCTCAGGGGCAGTGAGAGGATTCACCAGAGACAGAGTGGGGAGCAGAACAGGCTGGCTGACAAAGTACACTGCTGAGGGGAGCAGTGGCTGGGTCAGGGGAGGTCTGCTGCACCATATGGGTCACTTCCGGGGCTAGGGATTGAACTTCTGTTGAAGTGGCTTTAGCTTCTTAGTGCTGTACTTTACCCTCTACACCACCAGGGAGCGCACAAGTTACCTTTTTTAGGCACATAAAAGTAATTGATCTCGAGATGTTTAATAGAGCTAAACATTTACAGATTTATGAATGTGTCTGTTTTTATTATTTAAAATTTTTCATCACATATTATATTGAAATTACAAGGTAGTCAGGAAGGGTGGGTTAACTTACTCATTCAATAAGTGTATGTGCCTGGTCAGGCACTGGGGCTACAATAGGATAAATGGGGATACTAGTCCTTGGAGTTTATCTTTGGGTTGGAAGTACAGGGGCCTGAGTAAACAAAGAAGAAAGCAAGCAACAAATAGCTACAAACTGTCCACAGGGGGCTATGATAAAGAAAAGTGGAAAGTGTTACAAGGGGAGATGGTCTGATTTAGAATACTGAGAAGGGGACCCTCCCTTGTGGCGCAGCCTGTTAAAGCACAGCACTAAGAAGCTAAAGCCACCTCAGCACAAGTTCTATCCCCGTCCTGGAGGTGACCCATATGGCATGGCAGACCTCTCCTGACCCACCCGCTGCTCCAGCAGTGGTGTAATTTGTCAGCCGGCCTGTTCTGCTCCCTGCTTTGTCTCTGGTGAATCCACTCACCACACCTGTGCCTCAGTTCTGTATGCACAAATAAATAAATCTTTAAATATATATATATATATAGAGAGAGAGAGAGAGAGAGAGAAGGTCTTAGCAATGTTCATTCTCTGCACTTTGACTTCATCAGAGGCATGGAAGATCTTGGCATGTTCTAGAAAGATCTTGTAGCTGGAATTTGGGTTCTAGGTGAAGTTGAAGACACCGGGTGGTATCAAGTCCTGCCAAGTGTTGTGCAGTATGGTAAGAGCTCTAGATTTTACTAACAGCAGTGGGAAGCCAGTCAAGGATTATATGCAGGGGAATGGCATGAAGGTGACTACCATGAAGCCCAAACAAAAGGCCATGTGTCTTAGACAGGGGGGAAGTGGCAGAGGAGACAGAGAACATGGGGTTGTTAGTTGTCACTTCATCAGTGGGGTCTTCCTGGCAACCCTATTAAAAACAACATTCTAACACCCCTCAGTCACCTGGCATTCCCCATCCTCTGCTCACTTTAGCTTTCTGCCACACTACTTATTCCCACTTATATTCTATTAAATCATTACTTCTTCCCATGAAAAAGAAGCTTTTGCTGTGCTTAGACCATGAGATTTAGGGATTTGTTTTTCTAGTAAAATTATATCCTGACTAATATACTCAGGTACAACCTGAGCCACATATATTAAGGGATTACTGGTTTGCCAGGCACGTTACCTACGAAGAAGATGGTATAGGAGGCTTGATTCTATAATTAATACTTCTCTTATTGCCCAGGAGATAACAGTCTCATTTGATTTCATAAAGCTCAACTCAGCTTCATAATTTTAATCAAAAGTGGCAAAATGGCATCAACATGTTCAATACGTTCTGGACTTCCATAATGCAATGCTCAAAGGTATAGAAATTAAAGCTCCCATGTTTATTTTGAAAAATTGTATATATTTAGTTTTCAATGTATTTCCAACTTTTCCAACATACAGGAATATTCCTGGGCTCCATTGTTCTGCCCAAATGGAGTTATCAGTGGATACCTTTCAGAAATTGTTTTGTCATCCAAGGACATTTGAAATGGAATCACCCATACTTAGCATTTGCTAATTTTTTTTTAAAAGTTGCCCCAAAGGTGTTTTCAATACAATTTCCTGGCTATCTTGTTTCAAAGCTCAGAATGTCAAACCTAAGTTTTGCTCTCAGTGTTCTGCAGGCAGTGTGTTCCACTCTTTTACTCAGAGTTAAACAGAAGTGAAACGGAACATTTTTGCTTGGGGCAGAGCCCTGCTGCATTCTTGGGGGTGTTGGCTATAAATCTGCACTCCTTAGAGGTTAACAATCAAAGTTTTCCCCTCTCTTATTCAGACGAGTGATATGATGATGATAAATTGCTTGGACATGACCGCCCCAAGCACTAGTGTGATAAATTACGTTGTTCAGGACCAAAGATTCTCCTTTGACAGTCTGTAACTCTGAATATTGGCAGTATTCATAACTAGACTTCTGCCGATTTTGGTCTCTGCTTTGCATATTTAGTCTCTGTTTTTACAGGTCATAGTTCATAGTTTTTAAGCAGCTCTTTTCCCCTTGAGTATACCTAGCTGATAAACCTCTTATTTTTTCTGTCCCCTACTCACTAGGAAGGTGGGATGTTCTCATATTGTTTAGTAAATAGTCCTTCACTGAAATTGTTAAAATAGTAATTATTAGTCCTTTTCACTAAATCCAGAGTAATAACAGCTTATCTTGCAGTGGCTTAATTGGGTAATTTATTTAGTGTTTGAAAAGTGCTTTGAAGAGAATATTGGTAAATATTGTTAATTTAATGCTCCTTTGTGTAATTGAAAGTTCATTACAACTATAAAATCCTCAGGATTATTTCTTACTAACAAAGTTTTCTTAATGTTGCTTACTAGTTTCAAAATTATATATGTATTGATTTTTGAAGTATTTTAAATATGTATCGTCTAAACTTCCATGTTTATACTGTAACATTTCCTCATGTCTCATCTACTATTTTCCTTACAGAGCAGAAAAGTTACATGTGATCAATCTTGCTCTCCTAAAGTTTGGAGGCAAAATAAACAGCCGACCCTTAGTTCAGGGGTATTTCACATCACGTAACTTCTATTTATGTTGTGTGTGGTATCGACGTAACTTTTCAGTAAGCTTTCCTATTATACTCTGACAACTAATTGAAATAATGATTTATTTACTTGGAGTCCATACTCTGACCTATCACCTCACTGTCATCAAAATTTGTCAGAAAGGCTTAGATTGAATTGTGCATGCCTGGTCAGCCCTTTTGACAAAATTTCTACTCCCTTTATAAGCCCAGAGCCCCCAGGTGTAATTAAAGGCCACTTCTCTAGCTTGGATTAGACGACCTCCATTACTGACTGCCGTGGTAAGGGCTGCCATAACAAAAGCTCAGAGGAAGAGTGACTGAAACAACAGAAATGTATTTTCTCTCTATTCTGGAGGCTAGAAGTCTAAGATAAAGGTGTTGGCAGATTTGTTTTTTCATGAGGGCTTTCTTGGTTAGCAGATGCCCCCTTCCTGTGTCCTCACATGATCTGTTTAGTTCAGGACATCTGAACATTACCTGGAGAAGAGACCTGCGCTTGTGACTGAAGGCACTGAAATAATCAACATGAAAACTGAAACATGATTAAATGACTTCAATGGAGTCTGTGAAGCTGTTCATCATACAATGTACATGATTGAGGATACCTTGCCCTCCATTTACAACTCTCCAAATTCTTTGTTATAACAACGTACAAATATTTTTTACCCCAGATTTCCTCTCTGAATCAAAAACTTGCTATGATTATCCAATACTGCACCATCAAAAAGGGCAACAGGTTAAAGTACACTGTGGTCCTGTCTCAGGGAGGTATCTGTGCTCACCCTGTTTACATGTGTTGTACATACTTGTATGTATATCTCTATATAATTAACTGAAATTTTCTTAGAAAGGAGAACCTCTGAAGACATGAGCTATGAAACAGCAAAAGCTCTTACAGTTGCTTTTTATAGTTAAAGTATTTCTAATTGTAACTTACTGTTGAAGCTGCCTGTCACTATATTACTATAATTGTGAACTTTTGAAAATGACCATATTAAAACATTTAAAAAGGGCCCTCCCTGGTGGTGCATCGGGTTAAAGCACATCTCTGCGAAGCTAGCCACAGCTGCTTCAGTGAGAGTTTGATCCCCCTACTGCAGAGGAGGTGACCCACATTGCTAGGCAGACCTCCCCTGCCTCACCCGCTGCTCCCCTCAGCAATGTCTTTCTCAGTCTGCCTGTTCTGGTCCCCACTCTGTATCTGGTGTATCCTCTCACCGCCTCTGCACCTCTGGCCTCTACCACATTCTGTATACATAAATAAATAATTTTTTTTAAATCTTAAAAAAAAACCCTAAATCTCATTTCATAAAAAAGATTATTGTTTAAAAATGTTTTAGCTATTATAAAAAAAGTGTGTTAAAATTTTTTTTTAAAGTACAGGTTTTTGAAAAGAAGAAATGAATCTAATAGCCTCTGAGGCTGCAAAATTTGACACCATGATGTTTTAAGAGACAGATTATAAGCGAAGAATGAAGCACACCTGCATATGAAGAGTACAGATGTGTAATAGAGTGTGGTTTTCACTAACAGTCTCTCCATAGAAAAATATTGTTGAAATACTTTTCCAGGAAAGGCTGTAAGAATGTCTTTGCTAGTTTTGACCTAGATTATTTGACACATGTTTTTTATTTATCACTCCATGGCGTATGGCATGTCTGTCACTTCATGAGTCAGTGCTTTTCTACCAGTTACAGAGTTTCCCAGGCTGCATTTTCTCCAAGTGTAGTCTTAAACTTCAGAGATACTCCCTTTGCCACTGAACAAATGCATCTAACAGGAATTCAAGAAGAAGCTGCTTGCTTCCAATGTGCCAGGCCTAGCTAAAGCCTGCTGCCCTGTGCTTTCTGTTGATCTCTTGCAGAAAGGACGTTTAGGCAAGAAAAGAGGTCTGCTGAATGCACTTTGGAGGACTGTTGCTGCGAAGCCCTGGGCCCTGCCTGTCACTGCATGTCTAGTAGTTCTTCACACTCCCTCTTGTAGATTGAGGAACTCTGCTGGCCTCGCTTGCTGATGAGCCTCACTCATGATTTTGCTTAAGTTAGAGGCCTGAAATGCCCAACTTTACCGAGACAATGCCTTGTGGCATTTTTGATCTGAGGAGTTTACTTACAGTGAGAAGTTTCCTGCAAATAGACTATTGTGCCTTTTTTGACATTCATTTCTCCCAGGCATCTTTTCACTTTTTGTGTAACTGTTATTTTAGTGGAGAGATCAGATTAAGAGATCCTAGTCTAAAATGATCACTGTGAAAATTCTATATAGTCCTAGCTAATGACATTTGTATTAATTGTTAGAATTCAAATATGTGAAAGAAAATATATAATTTATAGTCTTAGGGATCGTCTTTTGGCCTGTGGTATTGATATTTTTGCTATAGTGAGGTCCAAAGGATTAATTTCTAAATTCCTTTGCTACCTGAAAGACCAAGTCAGAATTATAAAAAAATAACTTAAGTGGAATTTTTATAATAAATGATATGGGGAAACTAGTTTTGGTTCTTTTTTCTTTTTGCTAACCTACTGCTACTTCCTTATTTTTATTTTTATGTTAGTATTATCCATGGATAAGATATTTTCAGTAATTTTTATCATGTAATGACATATAAAAAGTTTATATGTCATCTCTATATAAAGAATGACATTAAGTTTTGGAGTTTAAAATTGGAAAGTTTACTAAGTAGCTAAGCTATTTTACCATAATTTTACCATATTTTTTATACCATAAATCATTGCTTTAAATCAACATAATTTAAATTAATGTCAATAACTTATGAGATCAATAAAGAGACAATGGCTTTCTCTGCCTAATTAGAAGTCAAGATTATATTTCTGATGAGTTGGGGGATTGTGCAAAACAGGAGTTAGTTCTTTAATACGCCAGAGAAAATTAATATGTTAAAAGATGTTGTAGAGATGTTAAATGTCCTTTAATTTTCACAAATCAGTTTAACATTCATTGGAATAAATGAATAAATTAATCATTCATTAATATTGATAAAAATGTCAAATTGGACTCATATCAGAGTATTTGCTATGTCTACATACTACTTTTACTACTATTTAGCAGTTTTCCTTAAACCATCCCCCGTTTTTACTTTAGCTTCATCCTAAGCAATATTATTTATGAAATAAAAGGTTTGCAACATTTATTAACTTTTTCATAGTATTGTAGATAAATTCTTATCTAAAACAATTTTAAATGGCCATTCATCATCGAAGATGGATTTGAACTATCAGTGGAATATATATGTATGTATATATGCATATATGTGTATGCATGTGTGCTATATGTGTATATACATATGTATCACACGTGTATGCGTATCAGTCACACTCCTGAAAAACATTGATTGGAAAAACAGCAGATTATTAACTTACCTCAGCATCCATTAAAAAATTATGGTGGCAAAGTTGGCACAAATTTCAGACTAATGCCTGTCCTTGTGTTGATTAGGAAAAGTGAATCCTGTATTATGCATGTATGTGTGTGTGATTAGTTGAGTTAGCTGTTATATTTGGGGAAAAGCCAAGAGTTTTCAGTTGCTTAGATAATCAGCACCATTTATCTGAGAGTGAATAAAGCCACAATTATTTCACACTAATGCCACCTTTTACTTTTATTCATAAGCAGTATAAAGAGTAATAACATGGACCTTCTGGATCATGAGATATTTCTAATTCAATTCAAATTGTGTCTTTGTTAGTCTGAGGTTTATAGTAAATACTACAATATGGTTTGTTAGTGTGTGGGAGATCAGAAAAAGAATTAGTGTA